TAAATTACCTAAGCACAAAATCTTTGAAAAAACCAAATCACCTAAGCACAAAAAATGATCAACAACTTCCCTATTTTCCATATATTATCGTGTATATAATAAGTCAAACAAAATCTCATTGTTCATAAGTAAACATGATGGGTAAACATCTGAGATTAATGTTCACAAACGCACATGTGAAGAAAATCTCATTGTTCATAATATATATATATATATATATATATATATATGTTCATCTACCAATCTAATACATTATACTCTTAGTTATTACATAAATGCAATGATAAATATAATTTATTGATTTCCAAGATGAATGATTGTGATTGGTTCACAAAGTTAATATCATATATTGGGTTAACAAAAGAGTATGCCCCTATACACACACACACACACACACACACATATATATATATATATATATATAAAGTCAGGTTCATATAAGAACAATAATTAAATAAGAAAACAATCGGATTACATTTGATTTTACATTAAAACCATAGTGATTCATACAATTATGGATGCAACCTAAGGCCGTTGGCCACATGTCCTTTTTTTTTACCGTTAATGTAAAATCACATATTACTTGTTCATGTGATTTGGCCATTTTCGTATTATTTTATTTGGTTATTGTTTTTATTTCCTTATATATATGTATGTGTGTATATATATGGTTGGATTTCGGTGAGACTGGAAGTTATGATGAGAAGGATAAGAAGGGATTTTCAACCTTGAATTAATCCTAATTAAAGAGCAACAGTAATGAGATGCACTAGACCAATTCCCTAATCAATCTCTTCATACGCTTTTCACTTTAACTCTTATTCCCATACGATCATTCGTCTGTATGTATGTATGTGTATATATATATGTGTGTGTGTGTATGTGTATGTGTATATATATATATATATATATAGAGAGAGAGAGAGAGAGAGAGAGAGAGAGAGGGTGGGAGGATCAAGTTAGAATGCTAACTATTTAAGAGAATACGAAAACGACCAAGTCACATGTAATTTTTTATTAACAACCAAAAAAGTGTGTGGACGACTCTGTGGTCACGTAAGTCTTCAGGTCATGGGCCAAATTCGCATGAATCACATGTTATTTTGTATGTGATGTTAGTGTAAAGTCGCATGTGATTCGATAATTCTCTTAGTATCTTAAACAGACACTGTTCTATTTTGAACTCGACTCTCTCTCTCTCTATATATAAATGAAGGACCAAAGGAAAACCACAAAAAAAATGAAAAACTTGGAAACACCCTAGCAACCATTAATTTGTACGGTATACACATGTGTATAAAAATAATTTGTAAGTAATATCTTCAGCATGCACATGTGCATAACATGCACATATGCATAAAAACCAAGAAACAACTTCAATGACTTGTATGCACATGTGTATATGTACATATAAACAATTACTCATTGTTCCTTAAATTTTCATTTTTTTAATCATAAGACGTTCATAAGATTTTTCATGTGTTTATATGTCATGATTTTTTCAACAAATACCCTGTTCTAGAATGTTCACCAATGTTTATTTTTGTTAAAATTTTCATCTACTACAAATATGCCATGATTTAATCCATATGTTTCAAGGATTAATGGTTAAGATTAGTTCACACAGTTAACACTAATTATTGAATTAACAAAAGAACCACCCCTAAAAATGGTATCTAAGATTTTGAAGATTCATGATTCTAATTATTTATTTATTTATTTATTTATTTTCAAAAAGGCCAAGCATATGCAATATGTCTAAATATATATTAGAGGTAGGCATGAACGAAAGAGAACTAGCCAAGGATCGGTTATGGATGACGACCATTTATGCCACAAACCATTTACGTGGTGATGTATTTTTGCCAATCTCTCCATAAAATATGTGAACATCAATTACTTGATTGTGTATTTCAAAAGCTTGAACGTTTTCTTTTTATTTAAAAAACAAATTATCGGTTTCAAACTGAAAATCAGTATCATAATTATTATGAGAAAATAACAAATGTAATGCATATTATATTAAATACATTATTAAAATACGCTTTGAAAATAAAGAAATAATTTGAACAATGTCTGATTCCTTGTATTTGAAATTAGAACATTAATGGATCTATGTTTATTCCTATCTGAAAACCGCAAAATCATATCCACTTGATGAGAAAGTTTGATCTTAACCACAAGGGTGGTGTCTGATTGGTTTGAGCTTGGCTCCAAAGGTCAAAAGTACCAGGAAGTCTCTGGTTCAAATCCAATGAGGAATAAAAATCCCCTTGTGGCTACAGAGGTTCAAATGCGATGACTTCGGGCTATCTACAAAATAGATGGTCGCCCTCGGATTAGTCGGCTCTCATAGCGGGTTGGATATCCAGTTTAATAAAAAAAATTGATTTGAAGGGCCTTTAGCTACTCTTTTTAAGAAATGCACGACCCCATCTATCACATTCCTTATACGAAGTTTTTATGTGATCCCTATCCATCAAAATTTACTTCTTGTTCTGACGAAAGCATGATAATTGATTCCACTTTGAGGACAACACATACAAAGAACCCCGCTAACATTCAAATAATTAGTAAATCTCGAAGACTTTCATTAAATATGGGATTGAGACTAATAGGTCGTTTACCTAATACTTACACGGGTAAGTGTTTATCAAGTTATATTATCTTCTCATATGAATATGACAAGAACCAAGAATCTTATTCGGTAAGAGCGAATGTAAGGACCGAGAGTCTTACCCAGTAAGTAAAGGTGACGATTCTTACCATGGTTAACACTTATCGGGTAAATTGTTACATATGATGTTGTTTTAGTAAATTTAAAATCTTACCAGACAAGTAAGTAACTGAAATGAAATTCATTGATAGATCGAGATTCATGTTCACCCATCTAAGAGATTTTTTCGAATAAATAACTTTACATAAAACTTAAGCTCATAAAAGAATTTGTGATTTATCTATACTAAATTATAAAGCATTTGACAAAAACTCTTAAAAACCATTTTTATACATAAAGTACTATTTATTGATGCATATTACTTAAAATTCAAGATTAAAAGTAATTTTGAGTAAGTACAACTTATTAAAATTTCATTATTTAATTTGTGTAATTAACTGCAAAACATAATCAAATATATGATAAACATTCATTTTAAATATAGAAAATCTAAAATATAACTAAGATAATCATTAAGTTCTAACAGAATTTTTAATTATTTTATTTATAAAAAAGGGAAAATTGCACCAAAATGGAACCAACTTTCACTTGATTCTTATTTTGGGGAACCAACTTTTAAAATCATCATTTTGGGGAACCAACTTTCACTTGATTTTTATTTTGGGGGACCAACTTTCACCTGATTCCTATTTTGGGGAACCAACTTTCAAAATCGTCATTTT